CTGGCCGCACTGTGCCGGTTACCCTTGATGTTGGCACCAACAACCCGGATCTGCTCGAGGATGACATGTACCTTGGTGAGCGTCGTAAGAGAATCGATGGTGACGAGTACTATGCTGTAGTTGATGAGTTTGTTGATGCCGTCCGTTCTCGTTGGCCCGGTGTCCTCATCCAGTTCGAGGACTTCACTAACGATCATGCCTTCCCCCTCTTGAAACGGTACCAGGAGAACATCCTGTGCTTCAACGATGATATTCAGGGAACTGGCTCGGTTGCTCTGGCTGGCCTTGTCAGTGCAATGAGGGTCAAGAGAGAGAAGCTCGAGAATCAGAGGATCGTCTTCCTCGGTGCTGGTGCTGCTGCTGTGGGAATTGCTGATTGTATTGTTGCTGCTATGGTTCACGATGGTCTCACCCCTGAGGATGCCAGAAAGCGTTTCTGGTTCGTTGATTCCAAGGGCTTGGTCACATGGAAGCGTGGTGGCAGCATGCAAGATCATAAGGTGAGGACATGAGGATCATTAGGAAGTGTAGTTCGTCATGGTCAGGTTCCCTACTGTCATGATGACGAGGAACCAATGGAAAGCCTTCTTGAAGTTGTCAAAGCCATCAAGCCTACTGTATTGCTCGGTCTCAGTGGGCAACCGGGCTCGTTCACTGAAGACATTATCAAGGTAAATGCTCCAAATCAGTTTGCTGTTGTGACTTTTGTCGTTCTTCAGGCTATGTATGCGAACTGTCCCCAGCCTGTCATCTTCGCTCTGTCAAACCCCACTCCCAAAGCTGAGGCCACACCCGAGCAGCTCTATACGTAAGTTATAACTACTCGTATTCGGTGGCGATCAGCGATGCCTACTATTTTCAGGTGGACTGAGGGGAATGCTTGGGTTTGCACTGGGTCTCCCTTTGGACCGGTCACGCACAATGGTAAAGTGTATCAGGCTGGCCAAGGGAACAACATGTAGTCCCTCGATGCAGTGGCCTCTTAAATCCTATCTGTTATTGCCCAGGTACATCTTCCCCGGTGTCGGTCTAGCCGGTATTGTTGGCAAGTTTAAGTGGATTCCCGACTCTATGTTCTACACTGCTGCTAAGACTCTTGCTGAGAGAGTCAAGGAAGAGGATATTGCTCGTGGCACTTTGTACCCCTGTCTCACTCGTATTCGCGAACTCTCGCACGACATTGCGGTGGCGTGTATCAAGGAAGCCTTTGATCTCGGCATTGCTTGCATTGAGTAAGTTTACCGCTTCTCTTCTCTTTGATTTCCCTGTTTAGGCGTCCGGCCGATCTTGACAAGTTGGTGTGGGACCATATGTGGAAGCCCGAATACGCCCATACCGAGCTCGACCCGACGGTATTCGCCTTCTCTGGTCAAGGCTCAGGTAGCTGTCAGAGCAGGAATAGGCTGAATGTTGGTACTACACAGAGCAAG